CTCGGGGGTCGCGCCGCCGTCGGGATCAGGCGGTCCAGCTGCCAAGCTGAGATGCTCAAAACAGCGTGCCGGGCTCACGAGCATTGAAAGAATAATTCGGAGGGGCGTTTAGTTCACCTTCGTGATTTGAGTGTGAGAGAGTTACTTAAATAGAGAAATCCACGGAGATTTTTAAATGCCTGGTGTTGAGTTGTTGCAATATCCACAATAAACCCACGGAAGCCAGCAGTGCTAACAGCTGCCTGGGCTTGGCGTCAGTGTTCACATCCCTTCTCTCTTCTCCATCACTTGGTAGTAAGCCCAACAGTCAGACCTTCATCTCTTCCCGGTGGTCCTTCTTCAGGTTCCATTAAAGACAAGTGTAACGATCTCCAACGGTAAGTGATGAGATTTCCTCGATTCCAGAAACATGAGATACGAGAAAAATCGCTCTGAACTTTGCTAGCCGCCAGTGTAAAACTGTTGTGAGCTGTCAACTGCTGTGCAGACAGACAGCTGTGTAGACAGGAGTTCTTAACATCCAGGGTGACCAGAGAGGGCCTTAATTCAGGGCACAAGTCCATATTACTAACAGTCAGTTCTAGCTAGCCACATCTTCAGAGCACTTCAGTGCAGTGTGTGGAAAAGCTGGGCAAACTCCAAGTGTGAGACTTCTGCATGCTGAAAAGGGAGAGCCCCAGAAAGTAGTTTCAGATAGAAAAATCCATGTCTTTTCTGACAAAGAAAGGGAGATCCATCCTGTGCTGATGCAGCTGGGTGGAGAAGCAACCCAGCTATTGTCGAACAAGAGTCAAGTCAGCAATAATCTGCAGCGTTTCCTAAAACAGTGTCAGGTTCTGCCCCCTGTAGTCTGCTAGATTTCCATAGAGATGAGCTAGAGTTTAGGAGGCTTGATGGGTAGATAAACCAGTGTCCTGCCCTGTTTTGTTCCTTAGTACCCACCAAGCCTGCAGTGAGGGCACAGTTGAAACCTTAGAAGGTTCGGACAGTCGGCATTTTGGCAAGCATATGTGAATCTATAGCGTCATAAGACTCTGACAGAAGATAAGCAGGAAAAGAACCAACCACAGAAAGGGGGGAGAATCTAGAATAATTATCTCTGCAGGCTACAACTGATGTTACCAGCTTACAGAGTTTTCTCAAATTGAGATCTCTAATCAAAAGGTGCTCTAGCTCTCAACATATAACTTAGGAGATGATGCAATAGGTCTTTTTCACATTAAATTGTGGTGACGCCACTGGCTATGATCTTTATGAAATAAATCTTGTAAACAGAGAGAATTAGTGCATCAAAAGGGTTTAATTTATTTCTGTGTGTTGTAAACTTGCATAGCAGCATTAATTTAGTTTGTCTCAAGGGATTGCACTGAAGCAGGTAAATATGTAAATAAACCAATAAACCTGCAAGTTAACACCAGCGTACAATAAATTCTATCATGAAAGTAGGATTGTAGATCGCGGAGGGAAGACATGATGACAAAACATGAAGGGGAAAGATTTTCAGAGACTTTCATACCAGCTGGTAGAAGTGTCTCCTGTTTTCAGGTGATTCAGTCTTAATACGTGCTGCTTATTTTTGACATGGTAGCTTTCCAGAGCTGCAGCTTTTCACTGCAGTGCAGAGACGCTCCTCCAGCTGGCTTTCTGCCAAGGAGAAAAGAAACAGAAGATATGCAAACTGGGGTGAAAGCTCAAAAAGAGTATCCAAGCATGGTTCTGCACCATAGAGACTAGAACCTCTAGGGAAGACTGTTTACAATTAAGAGATGGGGTTTTATGATGTGATCCATTTGCGTTCTTCTACTGTACCATCAAATGATAGAATAATGATCTTCCTGTTGCTTTCTGATGTGAATCGGAGCTGTCCGTGGTCATGGTAGAATTGGGGTGGCTTGAGTCCTAGTGTGGGTGCACTGCATAAGGCAGTGAAGTGAGGGATTTCCAGCCTACTAAGTTCCTCCTTTCCCTTGTAAATTCACACTCTGGATCCGTATAATAGATCTGTATAGCAATTATGGTGTAAGTTTCTGCTTTCATGCACTGCAGCAGTAGCTGGCACCCCCATGAAATATCAAAAGCTGACTGGGCTGATTACAGATATTAGAGATCCTGACAAACATCACAGAATGAGAGGTGGCAAAAGCAGACAAAAGGATTACCTCTGAACACTGAAGGACGATGAATCACAGGTAAATGGCCATTATAAAAATGGATTTAGAAAGTAGGCTCAAAATAGCGTAAAAAGGATCTTCATAATATCACGAGAAGAACAATCTACACAATTTTAGTTTCTCAGTCCTTTAGCCTGGAATGATGGCTTCCTGTCCCCCCAGCTAAAAATGTCCATATGAATACGGACATGAAAAATACTTCTGGGAACCAGAGATCTACGGCAGTATCTGAATGAGGATAATGCCTTTAACTGAGGTAAAATATAATGTCATTTTGTCTGTGACATTTCTAAGAAGCAGGGAAAAAGAGGTGACTGCCTAAAGGGACTTTGTTCTTTGTTCAGGCCTTCATCTCTCTGGTGGTGAACACAGCTATCCTTACGTGGAGCCGAAGAACCCAACTGTCGTGGTTTAACCCCAGTCGGCAACTGAGCACCGCACAGCCGCTCGCTCACCCTCCCCCCCCCAGTGGGGTGGGGGAGAGAATTGGAAGAGCAAAAGTAAGAAAACTCATGGGTTGAGATAAGAACAGTTTAATACTTGAAATAATAAAATAATAGTAATAATAATAAATTGTAATAAATTGTAATGAAAAGTAAAGCAACAAAAGAGAGAGAGAGGAACAAAACCCAAGGAAAAAAAAAAAAGTGATGCAACCGCTCACTGCCTGCCAACAGATGCCCAGCCAGTCCCAGAGCAGCAATTGCTGCCCCCCCCGGCCAACTCCCCCCAGTTTATATACTGAGCATGACGTCACATGGTATGGAATATCCCTTTGGCCAGCTTGGGTCAGCTGTCCTGGCTGTGCCCCCTCCCAGTTTCTTGTGCACCTCCTCGCTGGCAGAGTATGGGAAGCTGAAAAGTCCTTAGACTTAGTACTAAAACATCAGCGCGTTATCACATTATTCTCATGCTAAATCCAAACACAGCACTATGCCAGCTACTAGGAAGAAAATTAACTCTATCCCAGCCAAAACCAGGGCACCAACTTTGATAATGCTTCCATGTGAGATGGAGCCATGTGGCCATTTATACTGTCACTTCCAGGATGTGTTGTAAGATACAGAAAGAGAAACAGAGGGCTAAGCCCTTCAGTTTGACCAAACCACATATATTTTTGCTTCTATTTAACCCCAAAGGTGATTTATCAGAGTAGTACTCCTATTCCTCCCACTTTTGTCTTACAGAAGGTATTGCAAGATACTGAATTTCTCCTGTGCAATTTGGAACAACTGCAGCTCTGATCAAGACTAGGATCTAAGTGCCTATGAAATTATCATGTATATTCATTGTGTCATTTCCAGTGACCCAGAGCTTTGGAATTAAAACAAATGTTTATCAGACCAAGAAAGGTACTAATTCTTACTGATACAGCAATCCCTCTTTGAAGCCAAGGTGATCTTTACTCAATTAAATATTGAATACAAAGTGGCCAGAATTCTTACCTCTTTGTTTCATCTGTCCTCATAAAAACAATCGAAATAATGTAGCAGTCAGGCAAAGCACAAGCATAAAAAATGAGCACAAGTGGCACATTACTAAGATTTTTTGCAGACCGAACTGTACGGGTTACCAGCAGCCTCACTGAACAGTGCAAAGAAACTATAACGCTACACTTTCCACCGTAACTGTGTGTCTTTCACAACTTCCCTTGCTCAGTAAAGCCATGCAGTGGTTTTAAGATTTCTCCAGAAGAAGGTGCAGAGAAACTATGTGATCCTGGCTTACAGTGAAATAGCTAAATCGCAGCATTACGTGGTGCATTTTGTGTAACTGAATATATTAGGAGTATTCAAAGGAAGTGATATGCAATTCAATAAGTAAAATGTACACTTAAGAAGGAAGTTAATTTGCTGTGGCAATCTTAGCCATGTAAGGCTCGCACAATTAAATATGTCCTTTTTTTTGTTGCATTCATATGGTGAACACTTCTTTGTAGTCAGTCTTTCACAAGTTAAGAATATAGATGCATTGCATTAATGGTAAGAGCCTTTGCCTGAAGGCTACAGGAGAGCAATAGATTGCATTGTCATTCATGGTTGATGTTAGCCCCACTGTGTATCTTCCAATGTTCTACTACTCCTGGAGCACACAGTCTCTGAACACTGGTTAAGTGATCAAATAAACCACAAATCTTTTACGTTTGCACTGAAATTCAATAGCAATGAAAGTCTAAGTAAACCAACTTTAAAATTAATATAGAAATATCGGAATAAAATGAAGTTTGACAGAGGTGTACATAGATATTAGAAATAGGGTTTAAGAACACAGTAAGTACAAAAATGCTGTTTCGCTTACCCTCTGGGACTCATTTAGAGGCTTGTCTGTCCTGCAGGATTTGGCATTACTGTGACCTAAGGAAGCAGTCCTCAAGCTTAAGGAGTTTGTGATATCACAAGTACATCAGGAGAAGCAGAGACCTCCACTTTCATGTCTCAAAAGGTAACACAAGCAAATTCATTGTTTAAATGCATTTATCCCACAGCGCAGCTCACAGTAACATCTCTAAATCCTGCAGTCATGTGTCCATCTGTACACTATTATTTAAAACTATCTTAGCTTTCCTTTAACGTTTGATTGAAACATAGTGTCAGTTGCCCATACATTACCCTTGGCTCAGCTTAGGGGAGCTTTAGGAGGTGTTTTCTCAGCATCCAGAATTTGTCCTTCTCGAAGAAATGCACACCGGTGTCAGCAGGGCACCCTCTGGGGGCCACTGTGTAGTGGTTTGTACGTTACTCTATTCTGAAAATGATGTAGCATTGCTGGGTCTGTGAATGAGAGATGGACAATGCTCGCATGTTCCAGACAGATATTGGGTAAAGCCCTAAGCCTTCTGAAGTCCAATAAAAACATACCGTATACGTGGCGTCCGTGTCTTTGTCAGATAGAGATCTAATGACTATAGAACCTGTCTGAATTTCCATGTTATCACACCAACAAAAAATGAAGTAAGGTACCTGATAAATAAATGTAATGTGCTTGTAAGGTTTAAAAAGTCTTCAAAAATTATTATGCCTGGTTTTTTTCATTCCCTTTTTAAATTCTGCTATTGATTCCCTCTCTTGGCCCGGCTGTCTCTCATGCTTTCTTCAAAACCTTTGCAGATACCCATTCATTCTCTTTTCACTTTGTCCATGTTAAAGCTAATGGTCAAAGTTCCAGTTAGTTTGTGCCTGCTAGAAGTTATTCCAGTAACTTCATCAGGGCATTACTTCTTACACTAGCAAAATCAAACAGGTCTTTATTTTAAAACAGTGAAACTGTTGAGATTAAGTTGAAAGGGATACGGAAATAATACAGACAATTCTCCAAAGGTGTTTCTGCTTTAGGGAAAAGCTGCATTCTTACCAGGCTGAGTTACAGTGTCTCACTCAACAGTACAAAGCAAAACCTTAATGAAGACTGGGCAGCTTTAATAAGAATTAGCAGGCTGCAGAAATGGCTTTTGGCCCCCCAAAGCTTTGTGACTTCACTTTTGACTTTTTATCTTAAGTACAAGTGATATGCTTTCACTGGGTTTTTACTTTGGGTTATAGCTGTTGTGTGATAAGAGTATGGGTAAATATACCACCATTATGGAAGAAAAGGGGAATGCTCTACAGCAAGAACTGAATGACTTGAGGACTACAAAAATGAAAACAGGATGAAATTTAATACTGCAGAGAGTAAGGTTGTGTATTTGGTGACTGGAAATAAGAATTTCTGTTACCAGTTAGGCACCGATCACCTGAAAGCGATTGAGGAGGTTGAAGCCCTAGGTATTTTAGTTGCTCAAAAGCCAACTGACTTTACAGCATGATGGAGCCATAAAAAAGCCACAGTTTGTCAGCTCCAGGATGAATCAGATGAAGTATTTCCAGGGGAGATCAGCAAGTGCTAATGTCAGCAGGCAGTGCTGGTCTCATCTAGAATATTGCATACAGTTCTGGTCACACACGTTGAAGGAATTCAGACCTGAAGAGTGTAGAGAAGGGCCACTAAGGTGAGAGAGGAGAAAGTAAGGTGCGAAGTGCTAAGAAAGGTGCTAAGGAGAAACTATTTTACAGAGGAGATTAAAGGGACCAAATGGTTCATCTCACCAAAATAAAGGCTAGATTATAAAGACTATAGATTGCACCTATAAATATATCAGGAAAAATAGCAGGGACAAAAAAAGAACCATGTATGCTGAAGGACAGTGATGGCATGAGAACAAACATATAAACCAACCATGAGCAAAAGTAGGCAAGAAATTAGAATCATAGAATATCCTCAGTTGGAAGGGACCCACAAGGATCATCAAGTCCCACTCCTGACTCCACACAGGGCAACCTAAAAGTTAAACCATATATCTAAGAGCATTCCCAAATGCTTCTTGAACACTGACAGGCCTGAGGCCATGACCACTTCCCTGGGGAGCTTGTTTCAGTGCTTGACCACCCTCTCAGCGAAGAACTTTTTCCTAATATCCAATCTGAACTTCCCCCAACGCAGCTTTAATCCATCCCCTATCACCAGACACCAGAGAGATGAGATCAGCACCTCCCTCTCCGCTCCCCCTCATGAGGAAGTTGTAGACAATGAGGTCACCCCTCAGTCTCCTCTTCTCTAAGCTGAACAAACCTAGTATCCTCAGCCACTCCTCGTAAGCCATGCCCTCTAGTCCTTTCACCATCTTTGTTGCCCTCCTTTGGACACATTCTAATATTTTTTTATCCTTCTTAGATTGTGGAGCCCAAATCTGCACACAGTACTTGAGGTGAGGCTGCACCAATGCTGAGCATAGTGCGACAATCGCTTCTTTCGACTGGTTAGCTACACTGTGCCTAATGCCCCCCAGGATACGGTTGGCCCTTTGGGCTGCCAGGGCACATTGTTGACTCATATTGAGCTTACCATCAACCAACTCCCCAGATCCCTTTCTGCAGGGCTGCACTCCAGCCTCTTGTCCCCCAGTCCATACGTACATCCAGGATTACACCATCCCAGGTGCAGAACCCAGCATTTGTCTTTCATAAATTTCATACAGTTGGTGATTGCCCAGCGCTCTATTCTATCAAGATCTCTATGTAAGGCCTCTCTACCCTCAAGGGAATCAACGGCTCCTCCTAATTTAGTATTGTCGGCACACTTACTCAGTGTGCACTCAACTCCTGTGTGCAGGAGTTGAGAACTGGCCCTAAAGTTGAGCCCTGGGGAACACCACTAGTGACTGGCCACCAGCCAGATGTTACTTCATTTTCTACAACTCTTTGAGCCCAACCCTTCAGCCAGTTGTTCACCCATTGTATTGTGTACATGTCATAGAATCCTAGAATCCTAGAATGGTTTGGGTTGGAAGGGACCTTAAAGGTCATCTAGTTCCAACACCGCTGCTGTGGGCAGGGACATCTTCAACTAGATCAGGTTGCTCAAAGCCCTGTCCAACCTGGCCTTGAACACTTCCAGGGATGAGGCATCCACAACTTCTCTGGGCAACCTCTTCCAGTGTCTCACCACCCTCACAGTAAAGAATTTCTTCCTAATATCTAATCTAAATCTACCCTCTTTCAGTTTAAAACCATTACCCCTCATCCTACCACTACACTCCCCGATAAAGAGTCCCTCCCCATCTTTCCTGTAGGCCCCCTTTAAGTACTGACAGGCTGCAATAAGGTCTCCCTGGAGCCTTCTCTTCTCTAGGCTGAACAACCCCAACTCTCTCAGCCTTTCCTCCTAAGGGACGTGCTCCAGCCCCCTGATCATCTTCATGGCCCTCCTCTGGACCCACTCAAGCAGGCCCATGTCTTTCTTACGCTGGGTGCCCCAGAGCTGAACGCAGTACTCCAGGTGGAGTCTAGCTGTATGCTGGACATTTTGTCCAGAAGGATACTGTGAGAGACAGTATCAAAAACTTTGCTAAAATAAAAAACCCAAACATATCCACTGCCTTCCCTCCATCCACTAGGCAGGTAATCTTATCATAAAAGGCTATTAAGTTAGTAAGGCGTGCCTTTCCCTTCATGAACCCATGTTGGCTTTGACCAATGACTGCATTGTCTTTCAAGTGATTTTCAATAACTCCCAGAATAATCTTCTCCATAATTTTACCAGGCACCAAAGTGAGACCGACAGGCCTGTAATTACCAGGGTCTTCTTTCTTGCCCTTCTTGAAAATCGGAATAATATTTGCTAGCTTCCAGTCAACTGGGACCTCTCTGGATTCCCAAGACTGTTGATAAATAACCGAGAAAGGTCTCGCAATAACACGGGCAAACTTTTTCAATACCCTGGGATGAATCACATCAGGCCCCATACACTTACGTGCATTCAGTTGCAGCAGCAAATCCCGTACAAGTTCCAAGTCAACTGGGAGCTTATCATTCCCCCAGCGACAGTTCTCCAACCCAGGGTTCTGGGCGTCCCAAGGCCCATCATTGGTGTTAAAGACAGAGGTGAAGAAGGCATTAGATGTCTCTGCTTTATCTTCATCCCTATTTGTGAGGTGAGCAACCTCATCAAGTAACAGACCAATGTTTTCTTTGTCTTCCTTTTGCTGTTAGCATACTTTAAAAAGCCTTTTTTGTTATCCACCACAGTACTGACAGCTTCAACTGCAACTGAGCTTTGGCTGTACGAATTTTCTCCCTACAGTGGCGAACAGCATCTCTGTGGTCCTCCTGGGTAGCCTGACCTTGCTTCCAAAGTCCATACGCTTTCTTTTTCTTCCTAAGTTAGGAAGAGCTTTCTAGCTACTAGACCAGTCAAGTTCTGGAAGACTCTCTGTGGTAGCCAGACACATACTAAGTGTGAAGGCAGAATTTAACACATTTATGAGGTTTATGTGGTAGGGATGCCTGGGCCTCCTGAAAGAGGAGATTCCTTTTAGTTATGTTTCCTAAACTTCTTTGTAACACTATCGCTTTCTTTTATAGCCATGTAAAGTTCACAATGTCTCACTCTTAGTTGTTTTCATCTGTGAGAGAGAAGCTATGATGTCCCTGACATGTCAAACTGGGAAAAAATTAATTTTGAGGATTAATCCTCATCCTTTGCGTCCTTTATGCTCATCTAATGAAACTATGCTGGGGAATGGTCTTCTCTGACACCATAATATCCACTGCTCCTTAAGCCAATAGTTCAACAGTTTACTAATGTCTCCTGAATCAAACATCTTTAGAAAAGGATGTCAGTAACTTACAAGTTTGTCATGGTTTAACCTCAGTTGGCAACTAAGCACCACACAGCCGCTCGATCACCCTCCCCTCCCCCCCCCGGTGGGATGGGGGAGAGAATCAGAAGACTAAAAGTGAGAAAACTCGTGGATTGAGATAAAAACAGTTTAATAATTGAAATAGAATAAAATAATATACAAAGCAAGTGATGCACAGTGCAATTGCTC